GTGAAATCACCAAAATTTGCATTTTCTGCGAACCGAAACCACTGTGGCAAATTATTTTAATTTACATTTGGAACTAAACGCTACTTTTGAGCTACAATTGAGCTAACCGCCTCCCGGTTAGCTCAATTGGTAGAGCGCCGGACTGTTGTGCGGGAGGTCGTGAGTTCAAATCCGGCCGGACCAACACTCAGGGTCTTTAATTAACTGAGAAGAAAGTGCTGCCTTTGTAATAATATCTGCAAATGGTTAGACTTTCTAGTCTTCTCGGATAGGGACGATAAATGGAGGTCCCGTCTCCTGCAGGGTTGGGGTAGGAGACGTTAATTTCCCACACACGAGATTACTGTGTGATGGATGTCCTCCCCGGGGTGGGATGGGTGGGTAAAAAAGGGGTTAGGTGTCAATTGGAACGAAAGTTCTGTTCCTTTCTCCTGCCATTCCTGTGGCGAGTCAATTAAACTAAACTAAACTAAACTAAACTAAACTTTATGGAAGCAGAAACACGTAGGCAGCTTTTTAGACATAATTGAACGACAAAACCTGGCCGCGACTGTAAAACTTATTCTCGCCTGTATCTACATTAGTCAAGTTCATAATAAAAGAACTACGATGAGTCGGTTTTAACATGGAAATATCCTTATTATGGCTCCTATCGTACATTGCTTCTAGGTCGCCTTAGAATTTACAGTGTTGGTTTTTGTGGAAGGAGGCAGATCAGAGAACCCATAGGGTGAGAGCCAACAATTCAACAAATTCAAGGTAGGTGTGAAGCCAGCATGGGGGATCTAGCCCAAGCCAAAAGATGTTAGGCGCTCTCGTCACTCCACCGATTTCCTACTCAGTGCAAGACTTCAGCAATTAGCAACACACCAGTCGAACATTGACGGCTATACGAACGTTGTAATGGCTAGGTAATTGAGTAGATTGAAGTTTTCTTTTATGGACCTAAAGGTTCTCTTAAGATTTCTATGAACGTATTTTAATCCCTTTCGCATGTCCTGCGTGACGGTGATGACTTTTTTCCATTTTATCTTATAAAGTTTTGCGCGGGAAATTGCGCATGGCCGGCATAAAGTGGTCTCCATACGCATGGCAGACGTTTCACCGTTGTGTTTCATTTAACACGCTGCAAGCTTCCAAAGCACCTATCATGCCTCACCGGGGGCAACTCTTACTCAGCTAAAAATTGTTAAGGTAGTTGAAACGCGGTGGCGAATTGTAAAAAGGTTACTATCCTGGAGTTAGACCCTGTTTGTAGTTTGATGTACGGGAATATTCCGAAAAGTAAAAATCAAGTGATCCCCTGGTCATTATTGGACTATTAAACCCTGTTTCTATGTAAAATGTACGATTGCGTGACCGAAGACATATTTGGCGAAACAACAAGATCAAATTCTTTTAATTTTTTTTTCCTTTATGGAACGAAATTTGGTCGGATTAAACTGTTTTTACCACAATTGGCAGTAACGTCGCAGTCTTATTGTCCAATTTGCCGTTGTCGATAAGAATACAGAAAACGATGCTCGCTTCAACGTGTCACGCTCTGAAAGAATCGTTTTATTTGACGTCGATATTGTGCTAAAATACAAATCAACATTGGTTTAACGTGGTCTATACTCTTATCGACAAGGATATTCGTCATCGCAGTAGTCAAAATTTGTTGGGAACTCACGACGCGCAGCCGAGTGAGTCCACAACACTTTGACCATTATGATGAGGAACATCCCCTGTTGATAAGAGTACAGACCACGTTAAACCACTGTCGATTTTTTAATTATGGGTACGAAAATATGGCGGCTTTCGTTGATGCCAGTATAACATTTCTTTTTATTACGTTGCGTGAATAATATTTTGTTTCAGTTGCACCACATGCATATGCTTTGTTTCATCAGAGAATTTCTGACATTCCCTCCTAAATAAAAGCTCTCATGTTCCCCATTCTCGTGATACTGAGTTGGAGAGAAAAACGAGAACCCGCTGCTGGCATTAAAAAGCAAACAAAAGGTAGGAACCATGCTGTGCAAGAAGAACTATTTTGCAATCAATTGTTTCTTCACCAAATTATGCAATCAGCATAAGAATCCATCTGGTGAGAAATCGTGTCCGCAGCGTTCATGTAATTATCAATGAAGTAAATACCTGTTTCGCTACACCGGAACTTACCTTTTTTTTCTTTTTCTGGAAAATTCTCAACTTGAATGGAAACATTTTAATTACTGGCGGGTTTTTTAATGAAGATTGATTTATCCTCTTCAATCGTCTTCCAACGATTCGCCAAAAAAAAAATTGAAAAACTTTAGTTTTTATCAGAAAACTATTTTGGCCACGCATTCTCTCGAAGAATCATTTTTCCTCGAATTTCCCAGCAACAATGCGCCTAACGACTTTGAGCCACTGCTGAAATGTGCTCGTGATAAATTGTGATTGGAATTTTTTGAAAAGTTTCGTTAGGGAAGTGAATTGTCGTTTTTGTCTGAAAAACGCTAAGACAAGTGAGCATGTAAACGAAATTAAGTAAGCATCAATGTGCTTGATCCCGTTTCGAGTGGAAGTGTATTATTCTTAGAATATTTGAAAATTGAGGATCATATAAATAATGTAAAAGCTTCTCAAGAGCTTTAAATGAATTCTAACATAAAGAGCTCATTTCTTTCATGCGAGACTTCTTCTTTTCCATTACCAGATAGTTACATTTCTAATGGTATCCCATAGATGTTTATGTTGCACGTATAGTCGCTAAATCCGCCCCTTTTTTTAGAATCATTTAGCGCTGCATAATAAAAGATCAACTGCGTTAATGTTGTTTTTGTGAACAAGAAACAGACAATGACATTTTCCGCATGAAATCAAAATTTTCGACCAAAACTTACACACTCATGTATATTACAATTTCAATGTCCCTTGTGGAAATCGTATTTTGAAAATGACTATGAAACTAAGTGAATTATTCGGCAAACATGGTTTCTATGCAGAGCTGTTTATTCCGATGTATATACACAATTATTTATATTTGGATATATTTTACCCTCAATTCAAATTCGCGGAAAGTATTGTATCGTCGACTATTATCTAAGCTGTTAAATTGAAGGACGGGCATGAAGTGGAGGGTCTAAATCTCGTAAAAAAAAAACGCAATTTCTGGAGAGCGATTCGCGTCTGTCATTTCAATTTATTGAATTCATCGTGTAGAGTACGTTTTCGGACAGGAACTTTTCATATATTTGAATATTAAACGAGTTTGTCAGTATTAGATAATAGCATTACGCTTGGAAGTACGAAAATTTTTGTTTTTTTTTCTGAATAATTCGACAGAAGGAAGATTTCTTTTCTTTTCTTTCTCAACAGATGTTTCAATGAAACTTTCCCGTCTCCTAAAAACAAAAAATTCACAATCTTAAGGAAAATACTCTTATTGTCATCGTTGTTTTTATGACATCACATCGCCAATTTATACGAATTCTCACGTTGAACGATGACTTACAAATTTCCAATCGACACTGATATTTCAGTAGAAAAGAACCCTCACGGGGTCGTTGTGTTGGCGATAAATTTCTCAGCATTGATCCTTGTGTTAGCTTTTTGCCGCTAGAATCCTTTCTTTTTTATTATAATGATATAATTATTACTATTACTGTGCCAAAGGCCTTGTAGCTAGCATTATTTGATGTTAAATGAACGATTCATCTGGAAAAGTAGCTAAAGAAAATGGCGAATTTCTGTCGGAGTTTAGTCTTTTTTGTTTCCTTCCCAGGCGTTTCCAAGTTAGCCAGCACGACACAGCGAATTAATTCATCGAGCTTCGCTATAATTCTTTGCCTCAGAGAGAAAAACCACCGTTCATTAAACACTCGTTAATAACGGTATATGATCGACCTTAGAACGTTTTTCCTTTAGTAACTTTGTTAACAAATACCCCTTCACCAACTTACCCGGGCCAGTTTCGAAGACCGTTGGTGCTCAAGAACGTTCCAAATCTTGGGTTTGTACTTTTGCCAGCACGACTGCTGCTCGCCACCAAAATTTTCAGATACCAACTCGCCAAACTCAGAGTTTAAATCATCGTCATCGTCCGTCATCTCTGCCGCCTCGAAAAACTTTAAATTTTCTTGAGCTTCTCGATGTTGCGTGTAGTAAGTCCAGCAACATGGTTCCATTTGCTTCTCGTCGATGCCCCAAAATAACAACTCGTCTTCAAAAAGCGGCCCGCAAACATCATGTGGACTGTGAAGCTTTCCCGTGCGATAATAATTTATTATGGCGGCAAAAACGCCAGGATGTCGGTCAAAGAAATATTCATTCTTTTCCGCGTCATAAAATTCAGAGCTGTTATTAACGTTCTCGGTACACCAGGCGAGACGTGTTCCCGGGAAATTACGAAGAGTGCTCCTAAATGTTTCATGTCGGACTCCACCGCAATTAATAACGATTCGATCCCGTCTCGCAGGATTTGGGTGAATCTCTTCTGCTCCGTCAGACATTTTCGTTCAGGTTTTCATCGCGTCGAGGTCATTTCCAGCGTTCGCCATTTGCCCTGACGAAAATACACACAATCAGCGATGTTATCGTTAGATTTTACCCGAGCGTTCGTTCCTAGCTACAAGAAGCTAACCGCCGCACAGGACACCAAACACGGTCAGTGTTGTAGTTGAACTAGCCCCGTATGATAATTTCATCTATAAACACACTACGGCCTCTGTTTTCGTCTTGTAAATTAAAATTTGCCGTGTTTTCTTCGCGTTATCTACACCTGACGAGAGTCTGTCTTTACTCGCATTTCACCCTCCAGCTTTTTTTTCTTTTTTTTTTTTTTAACGGTAAAGAGGAAACTTCCCAATCAACAGTGATTGTTTCACTGTTTTGGTAATGGTTGCTGAGCAGAGCCAAGCTCCGATTCAGGATAGGTTAGTACGAGCAATTTGTGGGGTGATATTACAAAGCGTTCGCATCCTTTCCTACACCTGCGCTCGCATAAATATTCATGTTCTATTGGGTGATTGCCAATTAGAAGGTTTAATAAAAGCCATCCGTGGACAATGTCCATTGAGTCATTTTATTAATACAAGAGTTCTCTGTCACACGCATGTGTCATTTTCGGTCCAATCAGCGTCGAGAATTTTGCCAAACTCGCATCAGTTTCAAAATCGCTCGCTTTTGACTGGTTGAAATTCAAATTAACATCTCCAAAAAGCGAAATGGTGTTATGTAAATTTGCTCAGAGAAACGGTCGCAATGGAAAATAAACAGCAGAGCGAATGACGACAAAACAAAACGAACTATTCGTTAACGCTTAAAAATTTTAATTTACGTTTTTGAAAATTTGAAACTGGAAGATTACAACTTAAACTATCGGGAATAAAACATGTCGCTTATCGGCCAGTTAGAGGACTCTTAATCTCGTTTTCTGTTGCTTTTTCAATCCCAGACCTATACTTTTTCTTTAGAGTATTCGACGGACGAAAAAGCAAGTTCATTAGAACTTAAAAACGATGTTATATATCTTCGATGTACACCGGACAAGTGATTAATTTCTTCCCTGTGAAACTTGGGATCCGCTATCTGCTGTGACGTAATACAGAGTAATTATACTCTACAAATACGATGAATATATGAAGTTCATATATTTTGAACTGCGGTTATAGATACGTATGATGCACGATCCTCGCAGTAGAGAGCGCTATTTATGCAATAGCGAAAATCAGACCTGAAAAAAAAAGGCCTGATTTTTTTCAGGTCTGATTTTCGCTATTGCATAAATAGCGCTCTCTACTGCGAGGATCGTGCATCATACGTATACTCTACAACTTGATGACAATATTTTGCAAGGCTGTACATATTATTGTTAGCCTTGATATTCATAATTCAAGCGTTCAGAAATCGGATACCATCCAGGTGCTGAAATAATAACAATAAAAATAAACCAGCAAATTTAGGACGTGTATGAAGCACGTACAACTTAGAAACGGTTCCAAAGCGCAGTATTCCTCTAACGAATTTATTTTTATAGCGCGTGCAAACCGTGGCTTATTGTCAAAACAGTTGCTGTATCTTTGGTGATGCTAATTATCGACTTTTCCAGCTTGGCGTGGCGTATTCTTAAATTTTTTTTCTGGAGTTGTTTTCACTTTGAGGGATGAAAAATTCTGCACCTTAAAAATGAATTCTGCTTTGTCTCAGGCGACCTACCGCGATTCCATCTGCATGTTTTCTATTTTAATAATTTTGAATTACGAAGACGATTCAACGTAAAACATAAACCGACAGCTTAAACGCTTTGAGGCGATGTTGGTCGGCAGGCTCTCAAATGCAAAAATTTATTATAAAAATTAAAGAAAACTATGATACTTTGTCGTTTTCCTTGTTAGTGACTTTGCAGAAATCTTCTGTAAGAGTTACTTATCACTCTTAAAATTTTTGGGTCATCCTCGATATAAAAACCTGACGTGGTTTTCTTTGTTTCATGAGGTATTGCTTTGCTGTACGCTTTTGTTTACAATGTTTTGTTGTCTTTGTTTTACGTCACTCGTGAGCTTCACAGGTTTTTACACCGACGATGAGCCAAAATTTTTAACTCTCTATCTTTGCAGCTCTCATGATATCAATCCTCAAAGGCTTAAAGAGGTTGTTTTACCGACACTGTTTTGAAGTCTCCGTCGCTAATCAATAATGTCGGTCTTCTCGCCAGGGGTTCACTCTCGAACGGAAATGTATTTCATCACGATAATAGTTGTATGAAAATTTTTTACGAGGCTTCATATGTTAGCTGATATCTAAAGTAAGGGATAAGGGAGAAAGAATTATGAATGAACTCCAACTCGATATGATCGAACGAATGGCCTGAACAGTACAGACGAACGCGAGGTGGAAGTTCGATTCATTAATTGCAGGCCTGATCACAGAAAGAATTGAACGACACAAAGTGTTGTTAGCAATTAATAAACACTATGGCAAAATACGAAAAAGTAAATACCCCACGGTTTAACTTTATTCATAAATGAAAAATTAGTGATTGATTTTTCCAAAACAAATGAACCTCCAAAAGACATAATAGTGTTGATTAAGATGTATCTTGGTCTGAGATTGAACCTTCCTTTCTTCCCCCACCCCACCCCCCCCCCCCCCCGCTTCGCAGTCCGTTCTGTAGCCCAGCGCTAGTCCAGTAAAGCGAATAAGACCATGTAGGGATGTGTGTGGCAAAACAATATCTTTGCAGTCAGTTTCTCCAGTGTATGTCTGATAACTATGGTGGCCCACAAATGTCACCGCAAAAGAAATAACCTTACGGCAAAAGGAAAACACCCACGGTAAAAAGAAAAGACTCACTGCAAGAGGAAAAAACCTCACGGCAAAAACAAAGCGATTCAAGGCAAAGGAAAAATCCCACAGCAAAAGGAAAAATACTCACGGCGAAAGAACATTCCCGACAGTATAATGAAAAGAGTCGCAGCAAAAGAAAAAACCTCACGACGAAAAGAAAAAGACTCAAAGCAAAAGTTAAGACTCACGGCAGAAAGAAAACTCTTTTTCTTTTGATCTCTTTTTCTTTTTTTTTTTTTTAAGGTTATTTCTTTGGCCACTATAGGATAATTATTTAACTACGAAGTTATTTTTTTATTGTTTCATTTTATGTTGGAACTGTTCCTAAAAGGAGCCATTGTAAAGTCTACAGATTTATTTTGTTTTAAAATCATTGATAACTATGGTCTCTCTCCCCAGACGATATATCTTATGGAGTGGCGGACCCACGGGGAGGGTCCAGGGTCCAGACCCCCCTATCACACCTGACGCTTACAACTTTGAGACTGAAATTCTTACTTCCGCAGGATCGTATATCACTTTTTAACTGGCTGATTTTTTAAATTAATGAATCCAAGTAAACGGTAAGCGGCCAAGGCATTGTAACGTGCAACTGCGACTGGTGGGAGGGGGTGTGGGGGAGAAGTGATTTGCCTCAAAAGAGTCCAGCAGTCCTTTCTGAACCAAAGTTTGGACCCCCCCTATCAAAAATTCCTGGATCCGCCCCTGCTATGTTACAATCGCTTCCACAGTCACATTTCTCTTATCAGTCTCAGTCTCGCTTTCACTCACATAGTCACACAATCACAGAGTCAGTTAAATTCAGAGTCACAGTTGCAGTTATAGTCACAGTTACATTGGTTTATTGGTTCATTCATTTCACACTATTACATAAAATTAACATAGATAGAAAAGTAAAGTTGCAACAAATGATTACAGAATAAAATAAATAAAGTACAGATTATAAAAATGTGTGTGGTGGCCAAAGAAGCAGAGGCTTTCTAGTTGGCCACCACATAGTCACAGTTTTAGTCACAGTCACCGTCACAGTCAATTAATCACAAAGTCACGGTCACACAATAACACAGTCACAGTCACACAGTCACAGTTTTAGTCACAGTCATGGTTACGTAGTCACAGTCTCAGTCACAGTCACCGTTACAGTCACTTAATCATAAAGTCACGGTCACACAATAACACAGTCACAGTCATACAGTCACAGTTTTAGTCACAGTTTTAGTCACAGTCATAGTTACATAGTCACAGTTTCAGTCACAGTCACAGTCACAATTAGCGTCACGATATTACAGTCACACTGAGTTACACAGTCACTCACGGTCACACAATCACACATTCACAGTCACAGAATCACACAATCAGAGTCACAGTCAGTCACAGTTATACTCTCATTCACAGTTAAAGTTACTCTCACGGTTACATTCACAATAACAGCCACAGTAACACAATAACAGTTACACTCACAGTAGTCACATAATCATAGTCACACTACCAGCGCTAGAATCAGCGTTACAATCACATTCACAGTCTCAGTCACAACCACACGTCACACAAACACGTACTTCTTTTCAACGGAGAAGTTAATGAAGCTCGAAAGTTCCCGCTACATTTCCTTTACAGTAATCGGTTTATAAACCTATTCAAGACTATTGAATCATAAATGACATAAAGATTTCGTCAAAAATCTAAAGCAAGTTCTTATTCATAACAGTTAGATCTGATTTCCTATAAATGAGTATAGTGAGGAAATAGTTTCAAACACTAACAGACATCGGAAAGATTTCGCTCTTTTTTCACACGACATTGATTTATTAACACATAGATTCACGAAAGAATTTCATTTCCATCACGTTTGGTGACTGACCGTTTAGATCTAGACTGTGTGTGTAAACGTACGTCATTTGATAGCAGTATTTATTAACGCACATCAATATTTTGTGCCTTGTCGTGTGTTCTTAAACGCACCTGAGCAAAAAATCGAAATCTAACTCCAAACGTAGACTTGCGTATTTTCCTCGTTGATCAAAAGAATCCATTGGTTACCTTGTCCTTGTTCTTTCATTTTAGTAATGTTGCTTGTGGAGAAGGATTTTGAAGATATTTATACCTAAGCTCTGTGCGCAATTTTGTTTAGCATTGCAGAACTAATAAAACTGTGAACTGTGTGAAATCAGTGAACACTGAGAATAGGATAGATCTCTATCCGGTGGAAAGTGCAGTATTTCTGAACACGTAACCACAGGTTAGCGATTTCATGATCCGCTTAATACCGTTATCCGCCCAACGAACAACTGAGCCCTTAGCAAATGACCATTCAAAATCGCAACCGACTTTATAAACTCTTCATTGCTTTAATTTAGCTTGCTCTCCCACTAGCACAGCGATTTTTCTATCTATATAACTGACCATTAATAGATCAGTAATTTGTTAAAAGAAACTGCTGTAGATCTTAATCTATTTTTCTCAGTTTCTTTTGATGGACGTTCTATCGTTCAGTGAGATTTGTTTTATTTGCAAACTTTTTAAAATACTTGTTTTTTTCAGCTGTATCTTCCATGCCTCCGACCCATAAATTAAAGGTAGTAATTAAAGACTTCTCTTTACTCGTCTTTCTTGCCTTTTTTTTTGCTGGAAATAAACAAGAACTTGTCGAGTAAAGGGAAATCTTACATTTAAAATGAGGGTTGCCATAGTGGTATCTTTCGTTTTCAGGTAATATTTCGTGATCGATTTTAATCGCATGAGAAAAGCCCCCACGCACTGTTAGCATGCATTTGGCAAAATTGAAACAATCAACAAAACATCGGACATTATTTAATAATCACTTATACCTCAGACACAGAATGTTGTTTTCCAGTCGAGGTGAATATTTTGAGGGTTTTTTTTTTTTTTAAAAAAGGAATGTGACTAACCTTCTTTAAAATATTTTTCTTTGTGGTTAATATTTACACTCCGCTGGGTCTGATATAAATCAATCGTACACAACACTTTTTTTCCCATATCTCGACAAGACCTGCCTCTTGTTTAGATTTGTTCTGGTAAAACTGACTCCTTTTGACAAAAATTTCAAGGAGCATCGATTGAAATTTTTAAGTAAAATCAAAAAGATTGTGTAGGATTTGTCGAAATGTAAAGACATCTTTCTTCCAAATAGCCCGATTATGTCTTTCAGATTTCAACAAGAATAATTTATTCAAACTGTCAGAGGACAGATCTTGAGAAAAACTTAAGTGTCATCAGTTGCTAGGTAACGTTATCGAGCAGGTGCAGAAGGCGCAATAAAGTCCCGGATGAGAATAAAAACAGATTGAGACAAAGCGAGGAAAATTCTGACCGTTCTCGACAAATTTGCGATAGAGGATCATTCATTTTCAGCCAAATTTATGCCATAACTTTCAGCTAAAAGAAGGGAAAATGTCTCCCCTAGAGAGGCGAGATACGATGAGGATGGAAAGTCTTAGCGGTACGAGGCCGATGAAGGAACTCCGCGATAGAGTTGTTCTAAATGTCGGTGGCAAGGTCTTTGAGCCTTATATCAGCACGCTGAAAAACATACCAGATATTCCTCTGGCGAGAATCTTAGAGAATCGTTCAAAGTTAGACTATGACCCTGAATCGGGGGAATATTTTTTTGATCGACATCCGGCAGTTTTTCAACAGGTTTTGAACTATCTACAGACGGGGAAACTTCATTGTCCCCGCAATATCTGTGGTCCTCTATTCGAACAGGAACTCGCTTATTGGGGTTTGGACGAACAACAAATGGAATCTTGTTGCTGGCCGAATTACACAAAACACAGGGATGCTCAGGAAAACTTACAAGCATTGGATTTCAGGCCTAAATACGAAAGTGCAAACGGCGATAGATCGAGGCAAAGGTTTTACAACGATCCCACTCTATCCTGGTGGCAAAGAAACCAGCCAATCGTCTGGGAAATTCTAGATGACCCATATTCATCTTCTACTGCAAAGGTAGTGCGAAACGCGTTTTAATGCTACTATTTTGTTTGGATCCAGCTTCGTAAATTATACTAAGGCCTTTCAGTCTGAGCGACGAGTTAATGTCTAGTTTCAACCGCAAAACCACAAATTAAAAGTAACAAAATATTTCTCAGAACAAAAAATTCGCTTTGATCTAGGGATCTCTACGCCAAAGCAATTTTCTTTCAGTCGCAGCCACAACAATGAGCAATCAAAAGTTTTGGAAGTGATGCATCCGTTGTTCTACACAATGAATTAGGCAGCCCACAATGTCAACGTAGAGAAATTTTTTTTTTATTGCTTTGGGGGAAACGAGCATTGGCCCGTTTCGAAAGTTGAGTTTGGCTCGCCGTCGATGGCCCATTCGGAAGTGTTTCTGCTCAGAATTTGGCATCATAAACATAAATTTGAGATAGCGTGCGCATTGATTTTACTTACATCCGTAAAAACGCTTGATCGCTTTTTCATACTCAGCTATATCGACAGGTTCATAGTTTTCAGGTTTTCGCAAGGATTTCAATTTGGCAAAGTGGTTTTCAGTGTGTCTTCACCTGCCGGCTTTTCTTCCTTCTGCGTTTATTTTTTTACCCAAAATGAGGGGATAGCCGCCCCCCCCCCCCCCCACGGGGTTCTTCCCTAGATCCGCCACTGAACATAAAATTAGGAAATTAGTCATCAAATGATCGTGTTTGTGAATTTTTTTTTGTCAGGTGTTCGCCTGGGTTTCTCTGGGATTCATTGTCACTTCCATCTTTACGATCTGTCTGTGGACTGTTGAATACTTTAAGGGATTTAGAGAGGTCGCTGTGACGCAGAATGTTACGCAGTCGACGAACACAACGCTCGGTCAAAATTATAGTAAGTTGTTCTTTATTGGAATAAAATGCAATCGCTAGAGGATCAAGCAAAGAGACTGGATTCCCATAGAGACCTTGTTCTAAAAGGAACCACCCCTCTGCACTTACTCCTAAACTCGAAGCATCTGATTTCCGAGAAATAAAAATATGCTACTTTAACCCCACTTGTTGCTGAATGGTCGGGTGGATGTTCACATGTGGGGAAAATTCGCGGGGCACGATTTAAACAGGATTTGAAAACGAAAGAAATCGAAAACTAACCTAATCCGTAAACAAAGTGTGCTGTAGTGATGTAGTCTCAAGTCACATCCTCTCTAAGATAGTCCCTAATTGAGGTTGATTAAGGTGAAGAGTGAAGCAAGAATCGCGCGGGAGAATTATTTTTCGTCCATCTGACACAACTGGTCTCTCTACGCCCCCTTGTACTAAAATATGCTTTGCTTTCCAAAAAGAACGAATGCTAGCTTTTCATATATGAAAATCTACGAATCCACCGCGCAGTGACTGCGAAATTGTTTTTCTACCAGAGGCTTTATGAAGAGTCCAACCAGCTGCGTAACAATAGTGCTTAGAATTCGACTTTCCTCCCTTTCTTATAAAGGAGACAGGTTTAATTTCACGTTTTCGCACGATAAAACGCGATCAAATTTATCAAACTGAGAAGTGGATATTAATTTAGCCAATTATTGTTGTTATTGTTGCTCTGTGGATGATGCCTCTGACTGGGATGTGGATATGTTTTTATCGGGACGCTTAACTCCCAAGGGAGCTTATCGTAAACATTCGGGGGAACCGAGTGAAATGTTTTGCGTTGCCGGTGATGGAGTCAGTTCCCATCTAGATACACTGGTTGTAAATTTACTTTTGTGGTCAACTTCCGCAGTGTGGGGTACTAGGCTTAAACGAATTCACCACTGATAGCCTTGTTCAAAATTGAGACAATCTACCTTTTGTTTTTCAGCAACAGTGACCAAAACAGAACTTGCCGGTTCTCAGACCCCAATGGACGTGCTGACGATAATTGACTCGGTGTGCACAGGTTGGTTCACCTTGGAGTTCCTGTTGCGTTTGGCTTTCTGCCCTAGCAAGTTCCAATTCGCCAAGAAGCTGCAAAACTGGATTGATCTTTTGGTGATAATTCCGCTATATCTACTCCTTGTGTTTGAACGCACTACCCTGATTGAGGTCCTCAACACAACTCGCATTGTTCGCATCTTTCGGTTTTTCAAGCTTCTGTATGACCTTCAGATCCTGGGAAAGACAGTCAAAGCCAGCCGTCATCAACTGGGTCTTCTCCTAATCATTCTGCTTATCCCTGTCATGATTTTCTCCAGCCTTATCTTGTACACCGAGAAGCAGTGGGGAACAGACAAGTCCCTGTCTCAGTTCCACAGCCTGCCCAATGCATTCTGGTGGGGTGTCATCACCATGACAACCGTAGGATACGGTGATATTGTCCCAGCTTCGTTTGCGGGCAAGATTGTGGGTGGCATTGCTTCCATTTGTGGCATTATCATCCTGTCCACGTCCGCCTCTGTGATCGGCAGTACCTTTTCGCTGTACTACAACCTGGCCCAAGCCCAACTGAAAATCCCGCGGAAACAGCGTAACTTTGAGGTGGACTGCCAAAGCCTACCGACTGTCTTAGCCTGCAGGATCAGCCAAACCGACTCCACAGTGATCTCCAATACATCCGACAGTGGCTAACAACGATCTCCAAATCGCCCTCAGATTTGTGATCGAAATAGTTTTGTGTTTGACGCAAACGCTCCTTCGTCTCCCAGATCCTCTTGCGGGTGCCGGAGCTCCCTTGATCCACCTATCCCCTTAAAGCACGTATCGTCACCGCGCCCATCTGTTCCCCTCACGAGGAAAGCGAGTATTAGAAGAGACAGTGTTCTTGGGTAGATAGATTTGACGAATAACCTTGGGGACTGGTCATTTTATCGTCTGAGGGAGGGGGTCGTAAGATTTTAGTTGAATCACGATAAAATTTACCTTATCCCCGTATATAGATATTTATGGTTATGACCCTCCCTCTCTCTAGCAGTCCCCGCTTGTATACTCTGTTGGGACTGTATAGTCCCCGCTTATGTACCCTATTGGCGACAACTGATCCCCCCACGTTCCCACTGAAATCTAAGTGATTGCCAGATGAAAGCAATGTTTGACAATTTAAGCTGGTACGAACCCAGGTATCCATCAAGCTATCTAAGTGATTGCCAGATGAGAGCAATGTTTGACAAGTTAAGTTGGTGCCAACCAGGAATCCATCAAGCTGGTGAACTTTGCGCAAAAGTTATTTAGCTTAATTTTTCCTCCCTATGCATGTCATATGCACTGAATCTCATTGCAATCAGAGTTTAGCTCAGTGCTAAGACAGGCACTCACACTGTTTCACTTGAAAATGAATATAAGAGAAACTCTTAAAAGGGGTTGATGTTTCACTTAATTGGGAGTCCTTAGCCTGAAATTGCAAGATTTTCGAGATCGCAGTTGAAACGTAACATGAAAATTAATAGGCGAGAGTTTTAATCCAATGTCAGTGGTTCGAATCCCGTACAGGCCTGAAATTTTTTTCAGGTCTGATTTTCACTATTGCTCAAATAGTGCTTTACTGCGAAGGATCGTGCTCATATACGTCTCATAACCGCAGTTCACTCATATGTTTCATATGTTTGTTGTTGTTTAAGTCTTGTTTGTTTGATTAAAACATATCAATGATTTACAAATTAAAGAATAAAAAAACTTCAACTTAACTTTGATTATATTAGTGCCACACTTAGGTAATCAAAACTATTGTAAATATGGCAGATGAATTAAAAGATGTTTTGCTCTCATAAACAGAGAAATTTTTCATGGCTATTGTAAAATTGTACCAGGAGTGGGGTTCGAACCCACGTGGACAATTCGTCCATTGGATCTTAAGTCCAACGCCTTAACCACTCGGCCATCCTGGTTTGACAGTGATAGTTTGCTTAGATCACGTAGAGAAAAATAACTGAGGAAAATGTGCTGCCTTTGCAAGGACGGACATGCGCAAACGGCTCGATATTTTATTATTCTCGGATGAAGACGAGAAACTGTATTCCCAGTCTCCTGCATCTTCTTTGTACTGGTCAGCAGGAGACGTTAAAGAGCTCACCCTCTTACATATAAGAAATCCCGTACCTTACCTAATTTTTATGAGCCAGTACTCTAGTTACGGAAGCTCGTTTTTCTCCACTCGGGTTTAAGGTTCGCGAGCTTTGCACCGCGAAAACTCGGTCCGTAACTTACAGTACGAACCTCGAGCTCGGTTGGTAACATTTATTTATTTCGCGATTTTGAAATATCTTTTTAGCCACAGTATGTCTTAGTCAAGACGTACGTTTTTGTTATGCCCTTGTTGATACCATAGTTTGTAAACGTGTATGAACAACTTTGTTCAGGTGTTTCTCTGATAATAGTAATAATGCTCTTGGTGAGTCCACTAGGGAACAGTTCTGATATAAAGCATAGCGTGGTAAAGTGCTGACGTCACAGTTCAGTGGTAACCATTTTACTGGTTCTAGCTACTACTTCTACTACTTTACTTTCGATATCTTAACCTCGTTCCCAGGGTCTCTCATCTTTCCGCGTCCTGGAGCTCCAGGGGGCGGGAAGATGAGAGACCCTGGGAATGAGGCTGAGATATCTTCGCTTGTTTGGTTTTTTTTTATCGAGAGCAAAAATCTATAGATAGAGGTGAAGATCATTTCAGATCCGGTATGTTCATGGGAGCATGAAGGTGACACTATAAAGTCACCGTGGCGCCATATTTAGTTTCACGTTTGAGGCATCATATCGTTTACATTTGTTTTTTACTAGTGGCTAACAATGCAATTTTCGATCACGTTTAATGCTTTATGCCTCTGTAACTCAGTCATTGTGATTCTTCGGTTTTTTTATATAATTTTAGACAACGAATTGAAGAGGGATTCTTTGATATGATGATCAGGCTTTCTTAATTCCATAGTTACTCCTTAAAAGTAATTTTTATCGAAGACGATTTTTTCACTCAAAAACGGCTCGGGTTGGCTTTAGGTGCTTGGCTGGCTCAGAGTTGCGGCATGTGTTCAAATGTTCTGACTTGCGGAACTCGAAGATTCCTGACCCGACCACGTTCCTTCATATTCAGTTGAAACTGGATTAAGCGGCACTGTATTAACGGTCACCATGTATTAAATAACGGTCTAGGAATGAACTTTTGTCCAGAATTAATTAACCTCATCTTAAAAGCATAGGATAATCTTGCTAAGCTTCGTTTAGAAAACCTTAAGTCCTTTTTCAATAGCCTTTTATGACCTATCTAATATCAATAAATAGTCTTCCAAACTCACTGTGACTTCTTGATAGTAGAATAAAATTAAATCCATCCACAATTACTGCACGGAGACATTGGGCTTTCCTTTAGTCACAACGACGTCTACTAATTCAGCTACAGCCCAGACTACCATTTGTAGCATAGCTGTCTGAAGTGTCTGTTTAAGGTGTTACGCACATAATTTAACGTCATGTAATATAAACAGTTGTCAATACTTGTAACTAGGTATGCTAATGTAAACTGTACTTTTTAAAAATTGTGCGTAAGTTTGAATTGAAATATATTTTGGTGAACAGTAAAGTTTTTGTTGGAAACTACACCACTCTTGACACTAATTCCAATCGGGCGCAGCTCTTTGTAGACAAACGTAAGCCTTTTCTGACAACACACATTATATCACATTGTTTAATAACTTTTGTTGTACTTGTCAGTTGTGTTTTGCACATCAATACAGTTGGCCAAAGAAGAAATGGAGGTAGAAGAGAACGCCTCGGATAGATGTCGTTGGCTAAAATTCAACTGGAAATGGGGCCAAATCGGAAGAGTTAGGCTTGGTATTTTCCTCCGCTTCAACCCGGTTGTCACGTTTCTGTCCGCCGCAATCATTTGGTCTTTTGTGATTTGGTGCGCAGTCCGAGCCGAAGCCTCAAAAAAAGAGATGTCCAAATGGATGTTGTGGATTACAGAGGTCTTCACGTGGATGTATATTGGTACCTCGGATATCTGGGTACTGTTCCTAGTGGTACTCTACTTCTCCAAGTATGGAAACATGAAACTTGGAAAGCCAGCTGACAAACCGGAGTTTTCTGATCTGACCTACTTTACTATGCTGTTCGCCGCCGGTGTCGCAATTGGGCTGTTCTATTATGGAGTAGGTGAGATGAAATAATCGTAGGATGGTACATCTATATCCAATGGCTAAGAAATTCTTCTAGGATTAAGCCTCCTGCAAACTCAAGAATACGAATTGAACTTTGTTTTCACCTACTCTCCTAATTCTAAAGTAGAACCAACAGAGAATTTATAACAATCCTCCATGCACAAGAAATGCAAGAGCTGTTTCTTTCATTCCATTGTACCGTGACCTCACTTCTTAAAAAATACTTTAAAAGAATATGGAGGGGCTCTATAAAAGCACATGGAGTATTTGGTTGTCTTTTCTACTATTTCCCGTGTCTTATGGGTAAATCAAAACAATAACGCTCAACCAATCATTGGAAAAAAGTAAATACATTTCAACACTCCCAAAATAAAAAGTTAGCCCTCTATGGGGCCTCGCCATGGTCTACTGCGCAATTTTACTGCGCTTTTAAAATCAGCCTGTTCTATCTAGAAAGAATTCAATTAAAGATTTTTCAATTTTTTTTACTGTTTTTTTCTTTTAGCTGAACCCATTTGGCATTATATACCTGGGGATTATGGGAATCGCTACTGGGGAAGGTAAATAAAATGGTATTTTGTCCGGAGAGACGAATCACTTTTAGTCCGAATTAATCCGAAATGGTGATACAACTTCCCAAAGTCGTATTGAAGCTTAAATATTCCCAGTCTCCTCCTATCGAAGAGAACCTAAAGCCATCATGCCAACTATCCCACGCTGATTACGCCTTACGAAGCCAAAACAAGCTGACGTAGCTACATTCTTGTATGCACCTATCGCTTTATTCGTTGAAAATACGTTATTTAAATGGGATTCTTTTACTAGAACGTGTTTTTTGGACAAGATGGTTTACAAAAGTTTACTGCACATTGTGTTTGCTTTTCTGGACCTTTTGGGTTTCTTCAAAAGCAGTTTAACTTTTGCCTAGGCACGTGTTAGACTCCGGTGTCAAAGGTTTAAGGCAACTTTGGGTACCAATCTCTATCTGACTGCATAAAGAGCTTGGACTCCTTTTGACAAAATAGCAGAGGCGTGCAACAACGCCAGATTTCTAAAATCAACTGTTAACTCGAACGCCCTCGATAAGCCGTGATTACTTCTAGTTTAGCTACATTTGACTTCTTTGTTTATCTTGAAATTTAGGTACAGCGATAATCAGCGTGCCCAGGATGCCATCAACTTGACCTTGTTTCACTGGGGTGTCCATGGATGGGTGGTATATGCCGTAGTGGGTCTTCTTTTGGCTTTTGTAGGTTACAGAAAAGGCCTACCCATGACCATCCGTTCTTGCTTTTACCCTCTCATTGGCGACAAGATCTACGGCTGGATGGGTGATGCGGTGGACATTTTCTCTGTAGTGTGCATCATGTTTGGAGTTTGCACCAGCCTTGGCATTGGTGTCATGCAAATAAACGGTGGTTTAAAGCGTCTAATCACCTCAATCGAATACTCCACTACCAACCAGATTATCATCATTTGGGCCGTCACAGCCTGCGCAACAGCCTCTGTGGTGAGCGGCTTGAAAGTTGGAATCCGTCGGCTGAGCGAGATTTGCTTCACCCTTGGTATGTTCATCATGCTTATTTGTGTATTTGCCGACAACACTTGGCATGCATTGAACGTCTACGTGCAGAGCCTTGGTTACTACATGCAATGGATCGTCCAACTTGGCTTCCACACAGATGCCTTCGCACAGCTGAGAAATGCACCGGATGGAAAGCAAGCTGAGCGTTGGTTTAATGACTGGACCATATTCTACTGGGGATGGTGGATAGCCTGGTCCCCATTCGTGGGCATGTTCATCGCGAAAATCTCTAAAGGAAGAACTATCCGACAATTCATTAACGCCACAATGACAGCTCCAATCCTTTACGTTTTCCTGTGGCTTTGCGTCTTTGGCAGTGCAGGCCTGAAGATGGAGCGTAATGCCACACTGGCAAACATCACGTGCTCTTCTCCGAAGGGAGGGACAGGTGCGACTTCCTCTTTGAATGGCCTGTACCGTTTGTCTTGCCGACAAACTACTGACATGTGGTTTGATGTTATGGAAGGGTATGGAGACCTCGGAACGTTCCTTTCTGTCATCTCACTTATCAGTATCATTATTTATTTTGTAACCAGTTCCGATAGTGGTTCACTTGTGATTGATTGCCTGTCAGCAAATGGAGATCCAGAACCTCCTGTAATGCAGCGCATCTTCTGGGCTTTGACAGAGGGTGCAACAGCTACAGCTCTGCTGAATGCTGGCGGCGAAGAGGGCCTTGTAGCCTTGCAGTCTATGTCAATAGCATCCGGTGTCCCATACACCATACTGCTATGTTTTATGTGTGTGGCGTTATGGCGGGCTCTGAAGATAGAAGCTGGCGACCTCGATCCAAATGGTCCTCAATTCACCACCAGTCTCTTAGAAGTCCTGAGCAATCCAACGCCACAGAGCGTCGGCAGGGTCCTGTTGGCCATCATTGCACCGTGGTACCCGATGGGAAATGCTGCCTACAGGATTGAAAGAGGAAAACATGGAAGATGGTGGTACATGACGATCATGGCAGTCTTATTTTACCTCTGGGTCATCCTTATGGCATTGGAGCCTGTGGTGGATGCCATATGGTACGTCGGGTGGGCCATACTGATAGGATTCTTCTCTTATGCTACCTCAATCCGTTACTCCATCCGGGAGGAATACAACATCTATGGTAATCCTGTCGAAGATTTCTTCGCTGTGATGATAGTGTACCCGTTTGCAGCATACCAGATGGAACACCATGTGGATAACGCTAATAAACTGGACTTACCCTTAAGTGACCCGGGTAAGTTTAATGATCCAGAGCGAGCAAAACCAGGCCCGGCCAATAACATTGAGACGCCTTCGATGACAAAGGAGAACCTGTCTTCCAAGGGGCATCACAACAATGCAATGGAAAGTTTTCCGGTAAGTCGTTACAGTTCTTACTAATCAAAAAGGCGAAAGTTATAAACGATGATAGCGAAATCATAAGCAAATGTACATACGTTGGGAGCCTGCCTATTTCTTGAGCTTATCAGTTACTTTTACGACTAACTTCACTCATTCAGCGTTTCAAGAGCGTTTTCGGCTGCCAATATTCCGTCAATCATTACATGTCTTAGAATATCACCAAACGCAATGAAGAATTCTACCCAATAGTTTTAGAGAAAAACGCAGGTTTTAGGTTTTGCGATAATGTATGCCTTTCGTTCCACGACTTCATCAATCATTTGCAAAAAGTAATGAGGATTCCGTCCTTAGGATGTATTACCTGGTTACATAAAAACTCCTGAGGCCAGCAGGGGCAGCAGTGATTGGAATCATATAGATACCGCCAATAGGCTGGACCAGCCCCGTCAGGACGTGGAAAACCCGAATGATCCCGATGAAGCAAGACGAGGCTCGACTAATAGCAGGAGGAGTCCACACCTAAGGAATAACTTTGCCGCGAGGGATAACACGGCAAGTCGTGCAAGTCTCTCCTCGACAACCGAGTGGGATGCAGTTTAAGGTGAGATTCATGAGAAAAAGTTTTTACAACTAGATTCTAAGTTGTCCTACGTCTGGTCAGTAGTTCATCACAGGTGACGTTTGAAATGTGGCAAGAACAAAAAAGTGGCACACAAGGCGCAGTAAAATGTGTTAATGTACTTACCGAATTTTGACATTTCCTGTGATCCGTTACCGAACGGACCCATTGTGACATGGAATCTATTTGCCTTATGTATGTCTTAAATAAGCAAAATGTTGTTAATAGTGACGTCATCTATTCGTCTGGCCTCCAAGAGATCATAATTGAAATTAAGTCAAAGTGCTAGTAGGATTGAGTTTATCATATAATTACAAATAGCCGATATGCGTACGTTTTTCTGCTACATCCATTTTGAAATCACTGGTGATCTTTTCAATCTGATTGCCTCTCATCGGTGCAATTTTTTTACGAATCGCATAATCTTTTTCTTTAAACCGCATCCCTTTCCTAACCAATGAGAAACCTTTACTAAAACATAACAACCAATCGGATTTCAGGGTTGTTTAAACTAACCAATGAAATAAGAGGAAAATGAAAGAAAACTTGAAGTTGCAACTTTTTTTACCAACAAGCCCAGTACTGGATCATTAAAATATTTATAAACATTAAAAAATGCTGGATTTGAACCACTAAATTTTGCGACTTTTAAATTGGATGTAATGAGGTGGGAATTCAACTTTACAAAACACTATTATTGACTGATATTTGTAAATTGGTGGCAAAATAATTAAAAAAAATAAAATTAATTCAACCTCATTTCTTTTCAGATTTTCGCACGGACCACCAGCTTCACCATAGGAGGCTTCAGATAACTTACACTTGAATATAAGGCGGTTAAGCTGTGGCATGGTGGTCTTCTTTTGTTCATCAAAAGTACTCTTCGTGCGGTTTGCTGGTTTACCTGTGTCATCACAGAAAACAGGAAAGTAGTCACAGGAAGCCGCTACGTGCGGTTTAGATGCCTTGCTAAGGAATATGCATGTATATCATAATTGTTACTTGATTGAAGTGTGCTATTGATTAGGGATCTGTCACTATTTATTGCATAGGGGATCAGAAGAATTTGGTTGAGTCACGATGAAGTTTACCTGATTACCCCCCCCCCGCCCCGTCCCCCTCCTTAAGGCTCTGTAATACCGTTATGATACCCCTCTCTTGACAGTTGAATTGTAGTAAATTTTTTAAAGTCCCCCTTTATACTCTGTCTTGACGACTCATCCTCCTTCCGTTCTCTCCGAACCATGCGACTCCCCCCCAGAAATGAAATCCTCCACTCATCCCTCCCCCCGTGTGATGAGTAATGATTAATGGTCCCTAAAAATGAGAGCTTTATACCGCTAGAATTTTAGGCGTGAAACTTCGATGTTTTCTTTCGGGAATTCATTTTGTGGGCCATCTAAGGCGTGCGTGTAGGGTAGGCCAGATTTCGTGCAAGGTAATAAGGTTTATTTCAACTTGGTTGTTTTTGTAAATTGGCCATCGTAAAGGGTTTCAAAACTGACGTTTCGAGCGTTAGCCCTTCGTCATACTGAATGATCTCTTGCAATTGCCTGCCAGCTTTGGGGAGGTCAAAATCTTTGGATGAGGTCTTTAAGGCGTATCTAGAAGAATGAAACATCAATGCAGTTACGCAGTCTTGAGCATTGAAGTTTTCGTGCGTGTCCTATAATTTTGTTCTTACGTGTGGATAAATTGTACAGTATGACTGAATATGCTATGCTTTCAAGTGATTTTTTTGGGGAGTGTTTACAACTTTTATTTGTACATGTTTTCATTGATATGGAGTACGTCCTGAACTTATAGCTTACGTGGCGCGATATATTTACCACAGCGTCAACTGAAATCTATGACGTATGAACTGTAATATAGCTTTTTTAATTCAAATTCTGGAGAAACAAAAGCCTTGTTCAAATGCAAACCACAATTTAAATGCTACTTTCATTACTTATATACAAAACCAACACCACTTGTTCACCCACGTTATCCTGTACGTATTTTTTGAATTTCGCGTAGATGTTTCGAATTTCTATCACTGATATCACTTCCTCCATTCCACTGCAACTGACGATCTTTTGTCTTGAGAAAAGGGAATAACGCTCCTAAAAACTTTTTAAGTTTCAATCAAAACTGTTTATAAGACGAACGTTGCTTGGTGACTTCATCTTTTAGGACATAAAATCTTTTCCTTTTAAAGTTTTAAAGTTATGCAGTGATTTGATGCACAACTGGGCTCAAAAGCATAATTTGGTGGAGTTAACATGACTGATAAGGTTGAGTCAGCCAGCCTTTTCTTTAAGACAAAAACAGTAAATTATGTGAGAAATTTTGAGGTCATGGCAATGATCGGTCTGAGGGTGGAGGGGGTGGGGGGAGAGGGTGGGAGGAAGGGAGCCTGGCTTAGATGTGCATTATGTGTATACCTTCTGCTCTTAAATTGGATAACATTTGATTAACTATTTTCATTTTCCCACGGGAACGCCGGCTACTTGCAAAGTAGTTAGGCTCAGACCACTTATATACCATTGCTGTTGCTATCATGGAGAAGAATTACAAAATGCAAACTTGCTAGCCATGACCTCACAACAGGGTATAGCTAGCTGAAGGTCCAGGGTTTCCTGAACGGGAAGTCTATAACATAGTTGGTGGGATGTGGCAGGGATCACAAAATAATGATAAAGGAGAAGGGGAAGTGGAAGTGTCCGGGGGAGAGGGTACATCCAGGAAAAAGGCTACTGAGGATGTGATTGAGGTTGCATTTTCATTTTAGGAAGTTTGAACCTTGAGTAAAGTAAAAAATTATGGTAAATAGGAATTTAAGAATGGCAAGAAGTTTATAATTGGACATAGAATAGACTATTATGGGGCGGGAAGTTTTGAGAAGCCAGCGGCATATGCCTACAAAAACTGACCCAAGCATCTCCTCCCTTGAGGGAATTGTGTACCATCGAAGCCCCGAGTGCGCCCTGAGGCGACAATGGTATTGAAAATAATTCTTTATAGGTGGTTTGCAACCAATCTCTACAGACACAGGTAACAATAGTGAAAGGAACAAATGCTGGTGGGCGAACAAAAGGAGCTAATGAGATATCTATTGTTTACGTCCACCAACATGGCGGCAATGACGTAACCACCAAAGAAAGAAGAGAACAAGCCATCGATTCAACGGTCAACAATTGCTGTTATTAGACTTTGATAATCAGTATACATAGGTTGAGAAAAAGGTGCAGAAACACCGAGATTTGTTTTTACAAAGTTAAACTGTTCACAAAGTGAACGATTTGCATGTATCGTTATGGAGGTTACGCCCTGTTCACACCACGCCGAAAAATTGGATTTGGTATTTGTAAAAAACTTGAAAATTTTTGTAACAACGAACGTTTTTGTTTTCGTAATCACTTTCGCACTTGAGACGTGCGCATTATTTGTGTAACCACAAATGTTGATCAATCGGAATAGATATCGTCCGAGATTTCGTGATAGTACGTTTCCTTTAATGTCGTTTCTGGTAAAGGACTTTATTTTATTTTAATAATTTAATGGAAACATAGTAAACAAATATATATGGATGTAATATATTTATTACATCCATTTTAAAATCACTGGGTATCCCTGTAGTCTGATTGGCTCTAATTGGTTCGATTTATTCACAAATCGCACCATTTTTTGCTCTAAATCGCATCATTTTACGCTTGACTGAGTTTTTAACACATGACGTCAGAGTCTTTCTGTTTTGCATAGATGTAAAAGCGTTTCCGGTTCCATTTTTTATTTGAAACCCGACCAACTCGCCGAAAACGCTTCAAATCAACGTCAAGTTAGTCAAGCATAACATTGAATATTTCATTCTGCTAAAAGAAAAAGATAGCGAAACGAAAACAAAAAAGTGCATTGCAAAAACAACTTAACATGATGTCTAATCTTTGAAAGGAACATTTGTAAACTGAACCGCTTTCCAATATACGGTTCCAAGAGTTTGAAAAAAAAAATTGCTTGTACTTTGGAAGATTCCTTTATCTTCAATAATGGCCAATGCTTTGTTGACCAATTGTATGACTGTCAACTATGAGCCCGTAATGATAAATTTATGAATAAATTTTTCTCACTTTCTCGTCGATGTATCGCGACATTTTCTCAAGAACTTAAAGCTTCCCTCAAAAAGAGATCACAATCAAATTTGTGTTCATCCAAATGTGGCAAAATTCCTACATTCCAGTTTTGAAAATTGTACAATAAAACTACCCGCGCAAGAAACGAAATGGAGCGGTAAAGGTGCCAGAATCTGCCTGTCTATTCTTTTAATTTCATTTCCAAAATGTAGCTTCGGGCTTCATAACTCACTGGAACTTTCGAGTGACGGGTCATTGGTCTGCATGTTGGCAAGCTCATTGTTTGGTACTTCATCATGGTTGAAGAGTTTAATGAGTAATTTCACTGTATTTTTTCACCATATAATTGCGGCTTGGCAGAACCTTGAAATCTCAAAACAAAACCCACTGTTTTTGGCTGATGACATGAAATTTCGTTGCCACAATGACTTGCATTTTTCGACGGTCAAACTATCAAGAACCGGAATTTATACCCAAATGCATTAAAAGGTTCCACACTCGGTTTTTAGGAAAACAGAAAAATTGTCAATACCCTAGGTCACATCGCTCTAAATAGAACATTTCGAGACGCCTTAATGTTTGTGAAGACTTCGTTATATTTTAACTGAATGCCTGTAAGCTGGGATTATAGAGGACCTCTATGTAAAGCTCCTTGAGTACCTTTGAGAAATTCAATTTGCTTGGCAAACTAGACATCTCCTTTGCTTCATAGCCACCTGAAGCAGCAATAAACAAACTCTTTTCAAAATTAGGGAATGGTCAATACTGATCAACTGGGA